TGCTGCTGCTGGAAGAGGAGGTGGCGGCGGCGGTGGTGGTGGTAGTGCTGCAGCCGCGGGCAGAGCCTCCCCCTCCCGCCGGGCCGGGCGGGGCGGGCTCCGGAGCCGAGATGTCTCAGGAGCGGCCCAAGTTCTACCGGCAGGAGCTGAACAAGACGGTGTGGGAGGTGCCCGAGCGCTACCAGAACCTCTCCCCGGTCGGCTCCGGGGCCTACGGCTCCGTCTGGTGAGTGCTGGGGAGGGGACCGGGGCCGTGCGTGTGTGTGCGGGGCGGGGGGGGTCGCGTCCGGTTGCTGCCCACCCCTTCGGCTCCTGCCCGGGCTCTCCGCCTGGAAACCTGGCTCGGCTTGTGGGGAGCCGCGGCGGGATGCGTGCAGGGCGGTCACCGCGGGAAGCGGAGGGAGGAGGAGAGCGGGGCTCGCTTGTCCTCCGGGGGTTCCTCTCCCCCAGCTTTTTACCAGTTCTGCCAGAAACATTTTTCCTCCCGCTTTAAGAGCGGTACTGCCGGGAAGCCGCAGTCCTGTCTCTGGAATGCGTCGGGGATTGCACCACATGGCAGGTGGCACTAAAACATTTTTGCAGGGGAAGATAATCATGTCCCAACCCCACCCCCCCACCCTCCCCCGAATGATCTCATATAGACATATTTCACCGTGCCTTCTTGCAGTTAGTAGGTGGGGGGTGGAGGGGGATGGAGGCTGGCAAGTCCCCCGTAGCTGGCTTTGCAGAGCTGAGGGCCTGGCAGCTCTTGTCCCAGTTTCTTCCTGGACCTGAAGGAGAGATTATATTTGAGGCAATTGTATTTTTAACTGGAATCTGCTGATAGGCAGGGAGGGTAGAGGGAAGGCTGTGAGGACTGTTTTTGCATCCCTGACTTGTAACTGGGTTTACAAGTACCAATGTTTTCTTGGCAATAGTAGATCAGCACAGGAAAACTTGTTTTATTGCTGTAGAATGACAGAATTACTGCAGTATGCACAGCCTGGGAGAGCAAGTCCTGGTATGAGACCTGCAGAAATACAGAGAGCTTGAAGATAAGAGTTTAGTTTTTAATGCTTACCTAATAGGAACAAAACATATGACAGGTTACACGTGCAAAATACAGTACTTCCTTAATTTGTAGTTTCTCTGCTGAAAGTATGTTGGATCATTAAATATAAACGAACTGGGTTGCATGCTTTGTTTAATCTTAAACACAAGGTTGTGTTGGAATCAGTTTTACATCTAGGCTTCAGCAGTCCTATGGTAGTGCTGTATAAAAGTGTTCACAGGTTACTGTGTGCTTTTATTAAGAAATGTCTTCCACACGAACATACGGTTTTTATTCTCTGTTCTTTGGCTCTGTCAGAGTGTGATCAGAATTTTCAAATATGGGTGCATGATGATTACACATCTGCTCTGCTGCTGTATTTGAGCAGGCGTGCATATTTTTTCATTAACATAATATGCAAATTTATATGATGATTATCATTTATGTTGTATCATAAGGAGGGATGCATACTGCACTCTAGTAAAGAAAAGGAGTTGCTTTGCATGTGCTGCAGTGTTAAATAAAGTTCTGAGCTGTTCTTAAACTATTGTTATAAAATTTTTAGTAAGTTCAGCTTAAATAACATGCATTTCTTAAAACTTCTGTGCCTCAAGTATGCAAATGCTTATATTTCATAAAAGACAAAGGCTGGTCAGTTCTAGTAGCAAGATTAAGCAATGTACTTGCCGAGGTTTTTTAAAATAGAAGGGTATAGTTCTGGTGAAGGAAGGGCCTTGCTGCCATAGCTGATAAATACCCCTGTAAGTGCCACAGAGTTACATAACTCCCCGAATGTAATAGGAAATGAATTCGCTCAATGCCTTGTGCATTGTATTTTTAAGATTGACCCTGCACCATCTAGCCCATTCCTCTTCTGTTTTCCCCCTCCCACAGTCTCCATTGTGCCTGTAATACTTCCAAAGTTTGTTTTCACAACCAATAACTAAAGAGTTTGCATCATGAATTTCCTGTTTTTGCTGTGTCAAAACTTTCAAAGATTGTGCAACTGTTCAGATCAGATGAAACAGTTTTGTATTGGAAGCAATCTCAGACATGTGGCACATGAATCTCTTTTCAGTCCATGTTAATGGTTTCCTGTATGTTCTTCTAGAAGTATGTTTCAGAAAAGATACAGTTCACAAAGACTAGTGGTATGGAAAGTATGTCAATTAAAAAAAAACAAAACAAAAACAACAAACAAAACCCCTTGCATATATATGTAATCTTATTAAGCTACAAATGGTGATGCATAGTATTGAGGATATTCCTGCAATGACTTGTTCTGCTCTCTGTCCCTTTAGAGATTTTTCTGCCCATTAAAAAGTTACCTGGCTTCATATGAGACACTGAGTTTGGTGTACCTATGTGTTAGCATAGTAAATTGTGGGGTTTTAACCACCCTTAAACTGAATGGTTAAATGTACTTCTGTGTATGTCTACTGCATTATTATATTAGAATGTAATAAAATGCTCTGTTGTTTATTTAGTTGTCAAGATGAGGCATTTAAAAGTGAGGAATTTCTAGAAAGTGGGGGAAAAATGAATAAAAAAGAAAGAATTAAGCCAGCAGATGAATTATTTAGACTATGGAGCTGTCTACTGTAGGCTGCTTTAAATGTCTAATGTGAGTATGGCTTGGAACACCCTAATTTAAGAACCTGACTTTATTTGTAGTCAGTGGATGGAGAGAGGGAGGCATTTTCTGCAGGCAGCTTAAGTCACCTGAGGCACGTGCTTAAAGTTAGAGCAAATATTCCAGTGTTCTCTGAAGTATTGTGTGCAGTCTTGTAAGAATGATGTTCAAATGGCCAGCTCGGGTATTTTTCAGGATCTGTTTTTTGGAAGCTGGAAGTATGTGGAGGTGCAAGTAGGGATTCAGTTCCAAAACTTCAAGAAACATCGATATGTATCCTCAGATTGATCATTACTAAGTCATGTAACAATTGCTGTGACATCTGTTGTGTGAAATGCTATTTCATTTATTCTCGCAATAGTTTTGTATATTTGTACAACATAGTGTTTTGCATGAAAAGGATTTTGTAACCAGGTCTACACTAAAACATGCGGGTTCCTGAAGTATCAGTCTTGTAATACTTCATGTAAGGAGGAAAGGGGCCTAGGTAATGCAGCATCTTGCAGTGGGAAGTTGCTGAATGGAGATGGGATCAATCGGTGACTCACAGTTTAGCTGGAGGATCGCTTCGTTTCTTGTGTGTGCTGGAGGGAAGTCTCAGCAAACGGTATTAGTTCAGCCAGCTCGAAGCTAAGCAATGAGGTGTTTTGACTGTCTTTGCCATCAGTTTCTAAAATGCTGTGAAGGCAGGCTCGGTATACTCTTAGGAGTTTACTTCATTGTTGTATTATTTGCAGCAGTTCTTTGTGCGTTGTATCGATACCTTTGTAAAAGAAGGGGTTTGGTTTAATTGCTTTGCAGGCTATCTGTATTGCCCTATTTAATTTGGAAAGGAATTGAACAGCCAAGACTTCCTCTTCCTCAGAATCTTGCATAAGAATTTTTTAGCTTTTTTTGTTTGTAGACTGTCAGATTATATAGCCCGTCCAAAACTTGTGCTTTCTTCCCATTTTAACCCACAGTTGTACCAACACTGACTCTGAATTTCCTGGATATTACGAAGATACTGACATAGTTCCCCTCTTTTTAAACTAACAGAGAAACACTATGGATTTAAGAAATTTTAAAACATTAGGCTCCAGAGGAAACGAAGTAACAACACTAAATATCACCTTTGTAGTAACAGTTCCTCTGTGGATTTTTTTTTTTTTTTAACCAATGTGTGTCTTTTAGCCTTACTAATCCCTTGTCAAAGCGTGCAAGTGCCTCCAAAGTACGTATGCACTTGGAGGGACAGGTGCCTGCTTCTCCAGTAAAGTGTGGTAGATATGTGAGGAATGATATGAAGAGAACTGTAAAACTGAGTGGGATGAAGCAGCCGTACAGGTAGGATTAGCAGCACGCAAGTAAGGAAGGAGGATTGAGTTGGAGATGGGCATGCACAGAAAAGCAGTGAGCAGAGTTCTGTAAGCGAAGGCAAGTAGTGTGAACTTCATGGGAGCTTTGTATATTAAGAAATGAAATTAGTGTAAGCATGTCTGTCCTATAGGGAGATTTTTATTGCAACTTTCTTAGAAGCAGAAGCCAACATAGCAGAGGAGAAGTAAGATTTACAACTTTTTATAGTATGTTGGGCGGGTAACTGATTGAAATGCATGTATAGACTGAACTCAAAAGTGGCTGGTGTTAATGATAAGCTGTCAGGTACTAAGAATTGTGTTTTTTCTGTCTGTAACTAGGGGTGCATAAATTAATTCCAAAGGTGCCACTGAAGAGCTTGGGTATTTACATAGCTGCTAGCAATGAGCAGCATACTATTTAGCAAAATAGTCTTTACGCAAAAATTAACATTCAGATTATCTAATGTTCAAATAAATTGGAGTCAAGTAATTTTGCGTGTACTTCAGTTCCTCAGACTACTTCAAATGTTACTTCTAAGAAGATACAAGCTGAATCAGTGGATAAGTTCTCTGAAATAATTGTTTTATTTTGGCTCTTATGTTCTGAATTCAGTAGAGGTTAGCTCAGAATTGTAGTTTTAGCTCACTTAGGGTGAAGTGGATGCAGTTAGTGTGCCATAGTGTAATACTATGTAAGAGGTTAAAAAATGTGGAAGCTGTGATAAATTCTGAATTTGTGCTGACCTTGTTTTAAAAGGGACTTAAAACTGTGGATCGTGCAATTTTTTCTGAACTGGGCTTTTTTAGCTGAAATATGATCAGTGTAATGCAGCTGTTTTAAGTCTGTGATGAAAGCCAGCTTAGTGTTCCTTAAAATGTTCTCCAACATGACAGCTGTTCTGTAGCTGTGTGTTCTGTACTCGTGAAAATCATTAGGCAGTTATCTATATTGGCAGAAAATTACTCAGCATGCCTTTATCTGTAGGGACTCTGTCTTTAGGCCTCAAATGTGACCGAACTTAGACTTCTTCTGACTTTGAGAGTAACTCTAGATTGCGAATGTGCAGTAATACAAAATTGTCTTTCCTGGGCTTCTGCATAATGTCATAGTGCTGGTTAAATAGTTTCTCAGTACTGCTGATTGCAGTTCTCCTTGGAGGTTATACATCTACTACAGCAGAATGATGACTTGATACGACCCCAAAAATGCCATTAAAAATAATGTGAAATTGAATTCCTTTTGGACTCTTGAAACAGTTTATGTTATGTCTGGTAGTTCTGAAGTCTACTCTAAAGATAATCTTATGGAAACCAAGAGAGAAATGTGACTATGTAGCTGTGAAGGCGGTTAGTATGCAGGGGATACCCTTCTCTTCAAGACAAAAGAAATACTGATGTATGCTGCCTTTTGTACCCAAAATGTTTGAAAGCTGGTAAAGATTCATGACTAATTCACAACTGCATGTGTTGAATTATGATGACTAATCTTATTTTTGCTCTAAGTCTTAGAAAACACCTTAAGTATCATTAAAATATTGTCATATAATTACAGCCTGAATGAGGTATGTTTGTATATTGCAAAATGTTTGTATGTGAAGCTTAAAAAAAGTTGGATTCTATGTTTCATGAAGTGTTGCAGCTTAAATATTGGTATTCCAGTGATCAAGAAGACTTGCTGAAGATCATTTGAAATCAAGATTAAAAAATGAATGCTTAATGGCTTCTTTTGTCTGCCCAGGCTGAGTGAGGTGTAAAGGGTAACTCATGTGTGGAAGTGGTTGATAATGGGCATTCTTTGAGACAGTATGGTGGAGCTTGAGTAATTCAGCTATGGCAGTTTGGTGCTCCTGTGATTGTCTGTCTAGCTCTATTTTCGTATCTTTTTCCAGAGAGCTCTTTCCACTGTGTGTATGCAGGTGCCCCTTTATAGAGAAGGAGATGCTCTTCTTCCATCATGCATAGTGGGTTTTTCTGTTCTCTTGCAGGACCTAGGGGAAGGATCGCTGTTTGTAGAAACAAGCTTGTATTTTGTTTTCTATTTCTCATAAACCTTGAAGAGCAAGTTCCTTGGAAACTGAGCAACTTTGTGATAAGGAGTCTTTTTGCAAGTTAATTCCAGTTAGTTGCTTTAAAAATAAATGACAACTACAGATAGCTTCTTTAGCGGGGGTGGAGGGTAAGAGTTGTATATGCAGTTGTGGGTTTGTTCTAGGACTACGTTTGTGATTGGTTTTGAACTTTCTGTTAGTTAAGATACTTCACGCTTTATAAATGTATAGCTTTGCTTTTCACTTGATGTCTATCGAGAACTAGTGCATACTCACTTTTAAATAGAATCAGGAGTTCACCCTGAATCAAAATGCAGCAGGAAAATAAACATAAGTCATTCTCTGACTTTCTCCATTCCATACTTTCCCCTTGTTTGTTATCTTGAATGAAGTGTGACCTTGATTTCACATCCTCTCTTTCTCTTCCTCCTTCCTTTTTGACAAACCAGAGCTGTTTTAGATAAGAACATCAAAGAAGAGAATAAAGAGGAGTAATTTAGTTCACAGCTAAATACCTATGTTTCTTTAGTTCCTCATATATAAGCCCTAAACTCAGGAAGATTCTATGCAGTGTATCAGAAATTTAACATAGTTCTTCATGTGTTAAATTTTTGGTTGTTTCAAAAGTATCAGGCTTTTGCTTCTTAATATTACAAATAAATAGGTTGTAATATGACTTCAAAAGATGGTTTTACAAAATATCTATCTATGTATATATGAAATTACCAAATAGGGTGGAGTTAGTCTTCATGGGTTCCAAGAAGAAACATTATTTATATGTACAGGTTTTATGTATAAGTTTCTGCTAAAGGGACAAGTTTTAGTAATGTACAGCTAAATATCACTTATTCACATGCATTTTTGTATAACAGGAGTTTAGGATTAGATGTGATTTACCAAAAAGGTTTGATTTCAGCTTCAATTGTGATTAACAACCGTCATAGTTGATTTTACTAGGCACAGACCTTAGATTTTTGTATGGACTTAAACCATAAAAGATAGTATCTTGAGCATAGCATTTTGTGAAGAAGTCTGTTGTATGAAAATATGTTTAGGAATACAGATAATATTTACAAGTACTCTTTCTCTCTCCAGACTTTTATTGCCATATTTATGTTTACAAGCAGAACTGTTTTTAGACAGAAAAATCATAAACATTTCTTTTATTCTACAAAATTTCCCTTTAGTGTGTGAACAAGACTCATCTTTTAAACATTTTCTGTAGAAACCAACAGTTGTGTAAAGATGTGGGGATTTTGGGTGGGGGCACAGGTTGTGGACCAGGATACCTAGAAATTATTTTCACTGCAGAAATGGAGAAATGGCATTGACTGTGACTCAGTGTCCAGATAGCTGCTATCTGGAGTTGCTAAGTGTGGATTTGAAGGCATTTATAAATAATTAATTTTGATAATTTGATTACTCTTTGTTGTAGTTCTGCCTTTGACACAAAAACTGGGTTACGTGTGGCTGTAAAGAAGCTGTCCCGACCATTTCAGTCTATCATCCATGCCAAAAGGACCTACAGAGAGCTACGGCTACTTAAGCACATGAAACACGAAAATGTAAGTTGAAGGAGATGGTATGAAAAGTTGGTCTAAAGTTGGACTATCCAGTGAGCATCCATCATGATTGCATTTAAGGATCTTGTTGCATACATTTTTTCTGATACTAAATACAAAGCTTGCTGTAGTCCAAGGGATTATGATTGTAGAAAAGCACGCAGATAAAAAACCCGAAACTGACATAACCAAACTGATGTAACCAATTTTGTATTTTAAAAAATCTTAATATTTCCTAGAATAATCTAGAAATTACTGCTTAGCAGGTTCATGCTGTGTTAAGAATTAAGAACACGGGTGATGTTGCTTACATTCTCCTGCTAGCTTGCTGTAGTAAGCTGTAGTTTTTGTTATGTTAAGAATTTGTTTAAAAAAATAAAATATCAAAGTTTGGTTTTAGTGTCTTGTGGAGGGTTTTTCGTATTTGTTTGTTTTGGTTTGCCTGTGTCAGAAGGGTGTGGAGTAGATGTTAACTAGATTCCTTTAGGTAAAATGGGGAGGAAAAAAGGGGGTGGTGAGGGGGTGGAAATCAGATGGCTTTTTATACAAGCCATCCACTTAACTAATCAACAGAGAAACAAAATAGGATGTGACAACTGTTATGTTGAACTATTTTTTTTATATAACCTCCATTTGGTATAGAAAACAGTTGGTTGACCAGTTCTGTGTGTTTGTGGCATTAACACACCAACATATTTATACTGTGTGCTGTTTGGAGCAAAAATTATGCTATGGAGCAAAAAGTCTCATAACCTGCCCTCTGTAGAGCTGTCAGAATGTCAAGAGGAAAGGAAGGCTCTTGATTTCTTTTGTCCAGGCAAACTCTAGCTTAGCAGAAGGGAATTACTGTTTCGAAGTGAGCTGGGCAAACCTAGCACAAAAAGCCAAACAAGCATAATTTTGTTGGAAGGTTCTTCTTGGATGGTCTGTTCAGAACTTCTTCTGTTGTGGCAGTGGTGGTTGTGTGTTGTGGCTTCTAGCCACCACAGTCAGTGTCTGATATCCCGTAAATCTTGATGTTTTTAGTGTGGCTAACATAATTGGATCTTTTGATGCATGTATGTATTATTGTCAAAAATTGTTCCTCAGTGCCTCTGTATGATACCATTGTCTCAACGGTAGAGGAGGTAGCATTTGATCCTGCTTAATATCCATCCCCTGGAGTTTTTTCTGGACCTTCTCATAGCTGAGATATTCTCCAAACAGAAAAGCTTTGAATATCTGTTACCCCCCCCCCCAAAATCAGCGTATCAATCCATTTTGTCTAAGCTAATAAGGTTAAACAGTGAAAATTAGATTGTAACTGGTGCTACAACAGTTTTGTGTCTGGCATTCATAAATATTTTTGGATTAGTATTGCAAAGAGCCTATGTAGCTTTAAGAGTAAGAGATAAAAGGAAGTTGTTTATATATAGAAGTATTTATTATCAGTTTATCGTACCATCATCTATCTGTGGGAAGTTTATCTAGGTTGTGGTTTAAAAATCCTGCAGATGCAGAGATGTTCAGAGCCAGTTCAGGCAGGCTTATTAGTGCTAGTGTCTTGACTATTCAGATCTCAGTTCGGAAGTAGAACACTTGGTTTTACGTGGCACAGAACACACCGGCAAATCTGGAAGGTATGGCGGTTTAAGGGGCTTGAGTATAGGATGGTTTTCTATATCCTGTATCTAGTCTGGTTCATTATGATCTTGAGCAAATAAATGGACCTGCAGAGCACTCAAGTGTGTCTGCGTTATATTTTCAAGTTCCAGGAGGCCTTGTTAGCTTGAATAAAGCACAACGCTGAGCAGATGGGAGAGCAAATGGGTTTGTTGTCTCATGAAGAAATTGATAAGCTCTGTGACATCCTAAAATGCTGGGAGGGGAAAGCAAAAGGTTAGGAGTTGGATTCTGAATCTGCTGGTGTTCACACTTCCTTAGAAGTGAGTCAGTGATGTGCTGCAGAATAACTGTATTTAGTGTTTGTGAAACTGGATGACCGATATGGATGGTTTGATACTGTGCTTTGTAGTGTAGCAAGATAAAAGTGATAAATGAAAAAAACCTGAAGTCTATGTAGCAAAGTCAGTTTTTGCCTTTCCATGCTAAACTGGGTGGATAATGTTGAATTTTTCTGTAAAAACTGTTACGGAAGAGTTCACCAGAGAAAGAAACTGTAAGCACGAGAATTATTATGCAGGATGGATGTGAATGTTACAGTTTCAAGATGTCATCTCTCTAGAAGTAGATTTGCTGTGATGTATATCAAGAGAGGCAGGAAAGTGTTTTTTCTCTTCAGTTTCCTCAATAAAGTGTAAACTATAATGTATAATATAGATTAGACAAAAGCTTTTACTTCCTACCCACTTGCTCTCTTCCAAAAACATAGTCTAGGCTCCCCAAAGATTTTGGCTTTAATTCTCTGCTTAAAGGTTACTTAAATGACTGTGACATCCTTGACAAGTGTAAACAATGGGATAAAAAGGATGGTGCGAAGGGGAATGCGGGAATCAAACTCTTGGTTTTGTACGCACGCTTGAACCATTACTGAAGTTGCTGACATGTGCGTGATGATTGTGTATCCGAGACAAGTGAGATGCTGACTTGAAAAGGGAAGAGGAGTTTTTTGGAGATGGGTGAAGAGAACTAGTCTATTTATCTCATATATTAATAAAATAAAATATTATTTGCTATTGAGAGAGGAAAATAAGGTTTAAAAGCACATTTCAGTGAAAAACAGAATAAACTTTATTGACCAGATGGATTTTTTTTTTAAATGCTGTAAATGACCTAGAAGATAATTATGGGATAAGGTATAGTTCTTCTTTTCCACAAAGTAACACATGCATGTCCTTTTACTCTCTACTGATAGAACAGTTTAGCTGTAAAATGAAAGGTGGAGTAGCTGCTCTTTGGGTAGAAAATACAAATGACAGTGGGAAGCTGTCAGTTGTTTGTGAAAATTGGGTCCTCACTGCATTGCACTGTTTTCCTCACTTATTTTCTGGTGTAGTTATTATTATTCATTGCTCAAAGATCCTCAAATTTTTCTAGCCATTACTCAGTACAAGTGAAACAAATAATAGTCTCCCAATTCTGATTTGAGTATGTAAGCAACAGTATAACTAAGAATTGAGCAGGAAGCAAACAGTTTTGTCTGGTGGTTGCTTTTTTTGTTTCTGTCATCTATTTATTTCCTGAACAAGCTTTAGTTGGTTTTTGAAATAAGGTATTCTAAACCAGTGTTTACACCTGCCTTTTGTTGTGGCTCCCATTTGATGCTGTAAGTGGATGGCTGGTGTGAAAAGACAGCTGTATATTTTTAACCTTTTTTTTTTTTTAAAACACAAGAATGGAACATTTGTTTCTGATCTTGTATGAATACTAATTTGTCTACGTCTGAATGATTCATGTAGTTGGAAATGAAACAGCTACTGGAATGAGTACTTTCTATTCCACAAAGGATCTTAGTAACTGTATCATGTTATACTATGAATGTATTTCACAGCTTTTTCACTTTACCATTTTCTTTCTAGGTGATTGGCTTGTTGGATGTGTTCACCCCTGCCAAGTCACTAGAAGAATTCAATGATGTGTAGGTAACTTCTCTGAAGACTGCAACAAAACATCTTTTGTATCTTCCTTGCATCTCCCAGATGATTATAGAAATATTTGCCACCTTAATTTGTCTGCCATCATTCTCAAACAATTCTGAGTTCCAACACACAAGATAGTAGGACATCCTAAACTACTGGACTCTTCAAACTTGTTCACTTGTGTTTTCTTGACCAGTGCTGTAGGAATCGGTGTACTAATCTGCTATGTTATTTAAAGGGTTGTGATCTATATTTCATTCAGCAACATGCTTTGGGACAGTCAGCCCTGCTACTGGAGCTTCATAGAGAATTTTTATCCTAATCCTGTTGAAGGGATTGCTTCATAGCCTGCGTGTTTCCTTTTGTTCATAGGTACTTGGTGACACACCTTATGGGAGCAGATCTGAACAACATTGTGAAATGCCAGAAACTCACTGATGACCATGTGCAGTTCCTCATATACCAGATTCTTCGGGGCCTGAAGGTACTTGCACCTGTCCTACCTGAACGTTGATAGCTCATCAGCGGGAGGTGGAAGTTCTTGATGAATGTCATATCCTCAGAGATTCATATGAGTACATAGTGGGACTTCTGTAACTTCCCTAATGTATCATAGGATAACCTTTTATTATTGTTCTTTCACTTCGTACCTCTTTGGAGCTCTGTATCAGTAAAGTTATGTATCATTTAAGAAGATATTTTCATACATTCCTATGGGCCGAGTCTGGAAAATTACAAACTGTGCTGCTGTCTAATCTACTCTGGCTATGAATCTTGCATTTCTTCGGTTTTGTTTACTTGTGGTGTTCCACTTGTGGTGGCAGTGCTCCTGGGTGTTCCTAAGGAGAGACAAAGTGAAACACCTGCCTACCTGAAACCCATAGACACACACTCGGTTCCTTCTGCAGAAAAGCTATAGCATTTAAATTGTGTGGGATGGGATAGGGCAGTAATGTCTAGTGAAGAAATGAGAAGGAGGCTACTTGGACTGTTATATAAAATTTGTCATCTTGCCTTACAGTACATTCATTCAGCTGACATAATACACAGGGTGAGTATTTATCCTAAGATTGCTTCCTGTACTGAACCAATGTCTTTTAAAAATGTAGCACAGAATCTTACAATGCAGCACCTCTAGAAACCAGAAGAAATTTTGCGAGAATTATTTTGGTTAAACAGTCAAAAGGTTAAACATGGGAAGTGCTTGTCAAGATCCTTAGTTTCTGATCCTGTCTATATTTGGCTTGTGTCTTTGTGAAGTAGGTTCTCTATTTATTAAATATACATCTACAGCACTGGTGTTGCACTAAGCCTTTATGCATTTTTGCTTATTTGTGACACCTCTGAGGACCACAGAAGAGATAGTTGACTCTGGGATAAAATGATTTTCCCGAGTATGGAGAGTTGATATTTACAGCCAGTTAAAATCTATTTTCTGTCTGCATTTACATTTTTTATCTGTTAGACTTGTGAAACAACATATATACCACTGTTAATGCTGATGTTTAATTTTTTAGGATTTAAAACCTAGTAACCTAGCTGTAAATGAAGACTGCGAGCTGAAGGTAATGCAGTCAGAAGGTCTGATTGGTTTGACTGTGATTTGAGTGAATGCCTTGTGGATGTCCCTTGGAATTAAAGGGACAAAATAATTCCTTATGGAAGTACTTTTGTGGCCCAAAGTAATAATGTCCTTCCCATCTGTAAGAGGCTGTAAGGATGTTTTTTCTGTATCTGTTCCTGTGTTTTTAATGAATCATCATGAAAGTGAGGAGTTAACAGCTCTAGTTTGGGTTTAGTTGTTTTAGAGACAAGATATCCAGATGTAATTCTGATTATGGAGTCCTACCCTGTTCTAGGCTAGTTTCTTTTAACAAGTTGTGAAATTTAGTTTCATAATCTACTTTTGCAGTTGCACCACCTGTCCTCCACCCAATCCAATAACTGCCTAGTTATTTGCTCTAACTAGTTTGCATTGTTCTACTGCAGTAGTTGGTGGATGTCTTTTCTCTTCTGTAGATCCTGGATTTTGGCTTGGCCCGACACACAGATGATGAGATGACTGGGTATGTGGCTACCCGGTGGTACAGGGCTCCTGAGATCATGCTGAACTGGATGCATTACAACCAGACAGGTAATGCATTTAACTAACACAAGGCTTTTCAGTTCCTGAATTGTGGAAAAAAAGAAGTTGTCCTTTGTACGTGCTCCTTTCCATTTGATCACGTAAGGTGGCAGTCATGATAATTATGCTTCCGTAAGGGTGATTGAAAGAAGGAAGGCATAGTACTAGTATTTGAACCACAGTCTACCAGATGTAAGTTAAGAATCATTATGATGGCATTCACAAGACTTCTTTAAACTCAAACCTTTGAAATTGCAATCAGCAAAATATTGTCAGCACTTACCCCCTATTTTTCCTAGCACAGTGGTTTTTAAAGTAAGTGAATGGAATGTATCTGGATGAGGAGAAGGTGTGTTTCTAGGAAGCTGCTGGGAATATGCTGAAAAACGTCTGGAGTTATGGTGTGAAGAAATGCTAGAAAGTATATAAATCTCCCTTCCTTTCCTCTCTTCTTAGCCACTTCTTCACAGTTTTGTCTTCCTCACAGTTTGCAGTTATCTTCTCAGCAACATGCCGTGCTTCCCTACAATAATTCCAGATCAGGCACAGAGAAGAAAAGCAAATGCTGAGAATTGTGAAATTCTTGTACACGAGAGCATATGGATCAAAGAGAATAATGTGCTACTCTGATTTCCTACTTCACTACTTGTTCTTCTTTTCCTCTTGCACGTATATGGACTTGTATCTGTAGTATAATAGTTGGTGGTTGGCTGGGTAGAATTTATGTAAGGCCATATGCAAATTCATTCCTCAGAGTTGTCTTGAACAGGTTTCTTCCTCTTTGACTGTGTAGATTCCTCCCCAGCTTTTTGGTGTTCAATGCATGTTATGCTCTGGAAGGAGAATTTACCTGATCTAGTATTCTGTTATTTGGACAAGTTTCAGATGATGTAGTTACTGAACAGTTTCAGTTAGCTTGCAGCTTATCTCAGATTGTTTCAATGCCATAAGACTATTTAAGGATAAAGTTGTTTGTACTTGTTGGATAGGGTGATTCTATTGAGACTGTATTTTTCTGCATTACGTTGTTTTGTTTTATTTTATTTTGTTCAGTTGATATTTGGTCAGTGGGATGCATTATGGCTGAACTGTTGACTGGAAGAACGTTGTTCCCTGGTACAGACCGTATCCTTTAAAAGTAATACATTTTTTTGAAATGGAAGTTAGAGATCTTCACTTTCACATACTTTACAAGCAAAGAGGTTCTGGGTTTGGTTGTGGGGGGGGTTTGTTTGTTTATTTTTAAATTAATGGCTTCTTTTACTCACAGTACGATGAGGTGAGTTATTGATTTTGCTGCATGTGAAACAGTCACAATGTGCAAGGCAGCAAATTTATTTCTTTTTATTGTCTATTAGCATCACTAGAATTACTCACATGTTTGTTTCTGGCAGTTACTTTCCTTTAAGTTTATTTAAATTCATTGCTCTTTGAGTTTGTAGAAAATAACTGCATGGAGTAGGCTGTCTGCTAAGCATCCTCTCACGCTTCAGGTTTCTAGCAAATGTGAAGCATCACTTCTGGCCTCTCTTCTGTATCCTGGTGGTATGCTGTGAAAGCAGTGGGTTTGCAGATTCTTTAGTGCCAAGGATCTCATTCCAAATTGCTCTGAAATGTTTAGGTTACGCTTCCATGCTTGAGTGTAAACAGATTGTGAGCCTCCTTTCCCTGTGTGCTTGTAATGATGTGAAAAATCAAACTTGAATAATATCTTTTTCAAAATTACTTTTTTGCTGCACCAAAGTGGGCTGGGTAGGACACTTTGGCAAATTTATGAGAGAGCACTTTGTGAGAATTGGTCATGATTTTCCCCAGGAAATTAGAACTGAGACTTCATGCAAATTGTTATACTTACAGCTTTTGTTCATTCAACCACACAGCATATAGGGGTAATTTACTATTGTTAAGATTTTTCATTGCCTAGAAGTTGGACTTTATTTGCCAGAGAAAATTACATTGCCCACATTTTACCAAATTTTATTCTTTCAACCACAGTCTGTTTATTTTAATAACTTATATTAATTTATTAGTATTTTTATCTGTTAATTCAAATATGTTAGCATTTGATTTAAAAGAAGACTAGTGTTGGAAGTGCTGGCCTTCTGTGTACTATGTTACTTCTGGAAAGCATCTAGATTCCAGAACTCTTTGGCAGGGGGAAGGCTTTCATTCCAGTTTTGACACAGTTTCATCTCCCTTTTCAATGTACTTTAACTTTACCCTTTTTTGTCTCTTTCTGCCTGTCTCCATCTCATAATCTCTCTCCAAATTTGTTGAACTTGCTATATGTTACTCTTTAGTCATCTCTGCCGTATTTTTCTGTTGTCAGGGTCAGAAGCAGAACTAACAGGGAAGTGGCTTAGAAGCTAGAAAAAAGTTGCCATATTTCTATTGGCTGATTTAGCACGTATAATTTGGTTGGGGCAGATTTTGTTTGTTCTGTCAAGAAAAAATGAGAAATCAATAATTGTTGATTCAAACAAAGCAAAAGTCTTTAAGCCGTTGCCACTGTTTAACCCTAATAACACTTTAGATTTTAAAAACCTTGATACTTGCACATAAAATATTTACTAATAGGATTTGCAATATGTAAGAAATGCTTCACAATGTGTTCTTTATGAATTGAACAAAACAGTTACCTTCCAAGCCTGAGAAGATTTTTCTCCGACTGTGTTCTTAGCTGTGAATTATAGCAAATAATATCTGCAGTGCAAAATAAAGTTTACCTTTAGGATCTAAATTGTTTGCTTTGTCATATCAAGATACTTTACTAATTTATATCTCCTAGCAGATGCTTGTGATTCTTTACCTTAAGTGCTCGATTTCTTTTGCAAATGACAGTAACACTTTTGAATTAAATGCTTTTTCTGTTCTGAATTGGTTAGATTTTAAGAAAAATAAGGCCCAATCCTTTCCCATTGTAGATAAAACTTTGTAGTACTATAGTTCTTAGAGTTTGTGTGTATGTGTGTGTGTGTTTCCCCACTTCAAGTAACATATATGCTGTTTGATCATGAGGTTAGAACTATAAGGGGAGCAGGGTTTGTGGTTATGAATCTTGTTTGTGCATGTAACACTTATCTGAGGATCTAGAAGGGCACCAAGCTGTCAGCTTTCACTACAATTTTGCTGACATCTAAAGACAGCAAGCAGAAGTAAGATAACAATGGGTTCTAATCTTGGAAGGCTCTTTGAAATCTTTATATATGCATGATTTTTGGAGAAAGTTTTAGGAATTTTCCAGATGCAGATCCTGTTGGTTACTTCTGAGCTCTTGATAATTTCTTTGTACCCACAGATCTGCTGAGGCCTGTGTTCCTCCTGCAGTGTCACTATGCAATTGCTGACTTACTGACTTTGCAATTAATATTAACATGCTTAATTCAAGGTATATTTGCCATGCTTCTAGTAGCCGAGGATATAGTATATCCAAATCCACTGCCGTTCTAGGGAATTCACTTTGCAGTTGGAGGCAACGTGACTATTTCTGTGTGTTCAGGAAGCTGGAAACTGTTCCTGTTTGGCAACTGAAAATTTGACACTCTTCCTGCTTTTTGATCTCAATATGTTAATCTTCTCAACTGTATAGCTTCACATTTCCAAAATGAAATAGATAGTGACAGAATAGGTAATGCCTCCTGTTCAGATGGTTCTCTTGTTTGAAATATTGGTCCCTTTCACCAAGGATTTAGCAGAAATGGTGTGATGTTATTTACAGTCCATCAGGTATTTCTTTATATGGCCCAGAGATGCATATATTACTTGTAAGGGGCTTCAGGACAGGCAAGCTGTACAGTTAATTTAATCTGGTAAGTAACAAAGTTGTATTCTGAGATTATGATTATGCCACTGATAAACTAATGCTGAATTTAATTTTAAGTTCTGAAGGACCTAATCCATAGAGATTCTGAACATGGCTTTTCATTGAGTTAAAGCAAGAATTGTAGATGCTCTTAGGAAAAAAACCTGTGCTTAGCTCTGCAGGATTGTTACAATATTCCTAACTTAAAACTGAGTGTAAGCTAATTGAATTGTTTCTATTGCAATTTATGGGTGGAAATATTTGGATGAAAGTGGATTTCTAATGTAAAATCCCTGCCGGGAGGTGAAGGGAAGCAAGATTGTGGGGAAAGACTAGTCAGAGACAAAAAGTTGAGGTAATGAAAACCAGAGTCCTTTGGGCTTTTAATGTGAGGCATAGCTAGGGGCTTTCTTTTTGTTTTTATCATATGTGTCTTATGCCAAGGTCAGTTTCTGTTAAGCATGTATATTCATAATTTTGTTACAGCTCTTGTAATGTGAATGATTCATACAAATAAGTAGGAAAGTTGACTAAGTTTGACAATTTGACTTGCATAAAATGATATAAAGTACAAATAAGAATATCTTGAATGTTTTGTACTAGTTTAGCCAGTTTTTCTGTATGTTTTAAGCTGACTGTATTCCCTTTAAACTCCGAAGAGTATTTTTATTACTGTTTTTATTCAGTAGTATGAGACTTCCATGATAACTAACCAGTCTGAAATTACATATTCTTCTGATACATCTTATTCTTGCTTGTGGTGGCAGCTAAAACAACTTCTGAACTTTGCTTGCCTGGATAAGCTCTTACAATCTTGCAATGCCTGCTACTGATGGTGATGGCAGGTTGTTTTCTGAATTTTAGAATCACTGAGACTCATCAGTCGTTGGGAGTACCTTGGTGATGGCATTTGGGGTTTGCATGCTGCGCTTTCCTTCTCCATGCACATGTGTGTTCTTTTTTCTTTTGTTTCATATTTACTAAGTCTTTTTCCTGTCTTTAATTGCTTATGGCTCATTTCTCTGGGATGTGGTAGGCCCTGTAGTTAAATGAATACTGCAATTCAGCAGGTTATATAGATGGCAGGCCTGAAAACTAGAAGCAGGGGTTGGCTTTTGGCATGCCTATGGCAGTGCCGGTTACACATTCTGTGTTTTCTCTAGTTTATTTGAGAAGACACTGAAGCATATTACACAAGTATCTTCCAATAGCAGTTTTCCCTGGGAAAAGAGCTGACAGCAGACTGGGCAGCAATATTGTTGGCACACCTGGTGCACGTGATTTTAAATGCCTTTAAAAGAATTTAAATATTTAAACTGAGGTATGGCATGTGACTTCTGAGCATGTTAGCAGTCCGAATTTGCACAACTGTTTCTTGCACAAGAATGGGTGAAAGATGTAAGGGCTGGTTTAAATGGCACTGAAGAAAAGCCAATTTAAATTAGCTAATTGTGGTTAGTATGGCACCCTCTGCTAATTCTGCTACACCAGTGGATATACTGATTTCATTTTAAGCATTGACAATTAAGAGCTGGCAATTCAGCAGCTAAGCTAAATCCAACTAGGTACATTGGATTTACTCTTAGGTTTTGAGTGTTTAAGTAGGTGGGAGTTGGCCAAGCAACTTGAGAAGTGAGAAATTAGTTCAGCTGTACTGACAGAGTGCTATTTCCAGGGCTTTTAATTAATTTTGTATGTAAAACTTTAGACCAAAGTTTACATTAAAAGATAAAGGTTTTAGCAAAGTATTGGTGATTTCCTTCATATACCATTTGCCAGTATTACAGACACTCTGAGGCTTTTTTAAAAAACAGGAGTCAGTTTTTTAAGTTCTTGAAGTAGTTGAATTAAAAGATACTCTAACAAGGATTGTAACTGGATCTTAAAACATCAGGAAAGCATTGATCCCAGATAAACTTTGTCTAGTAAGTAGACTACTCTTATTGAAAGGAAAATGTGTAACTAGTTTGATATAATTTTAAGGGCAAATATAAACATTACAGACACAGTCTGAAATCACTGGGAGGTTTTGAAGGGCAGTATGGAGGATAATTCGGAGAAGAAGGGAGATTGTTCTTTTCATGGTTTTAAAAAGATACCCTGTGCCTCCTTACTGTCTTTGAGTTTCAGACATAAAACTGTGTCTTTAGTGGATTTTTTCCCTCAAGTGTATGTTTTGTCACTTATGCCAAATATTTAACTTTTCTGCCTTGTTAAAGAGGACAGCTCAGATCGGTACATGTCCTGGTGGAAGCTCTGATCTGGATAAAACATTCTTTGCATCTGCAGTGTTATGTCTCGAGAGCTTTCTTCCTAGAGATTTTAAATCTGAGCCCATATCCTGTTTCTCTCTGCCGCTCCAGTGGGTCTGTAGGGCAGAAGGGAGATCCTTTGGAGGCTTTGGCCTCCTGGCGAGCTGGCGGGGGGCGAGCACCTCTGCCGGCTGCTCTGGGCTTTGGAGAGGTGCACCCCGAGTTGAGGTGGAGGTCATGAGCAGGGTCCAGTCATTTTCTTACTTTCGAAGTTTTAGAAGTGGCTGAATTACCTTGGAAGGTGTTCGCAAAAGGCCTTGACTTCTTTTTTAATATTAGTGCCTACACTTTTCAGCCTTCTGTTTTACTTCATCTGTCACTAACGCAAGCTAATCCTGCTAACTGCTTCTACTTTGGTGTGGGGCCTGAGAGGGTGAAGTGAGCATGTAAACTGATCCTTTGTCAGTGGGGCGAAAGCTTTGACTTCTGCTGCGTGATAGTTAAGGATGCAGCGACCAATTCAATGCATGTGGTGTGTTTGTAGACAAGTTGTTCAATCTGTTTGATGTGGACAGAGCTGTGTTATACGGGGGTATTCAACTGTAAATGAGGAATGAATACAGTTTGCTTAAAATAGCTTTTCAGTGGAGGCCTTGGCAGGTGTTAACTTTCAACATTAATAGGCTGATATGTTGCGCTTTTCATTTTGATTTGTCCCAGCATTTTCCTTTATGGTCCATCATTAGATATTGATCAGTTGAAGCTCATTTTGAGACTCGTTGGAACCCCAGGGCCTGAGCTTTTGAAGAAAATCTCCTCAGAGTCTGTGAGTTTACACTTTGATTGTAATATCTGCCCTTTCGGAAGTCCCAAGTTTGTGTGTTGCCCTCCTGTAGTCTATCTGTAGTATGTGTTGGGATTTATTTTCTGTTATTTTTCTTCCTTTGTCATTCTTTGTTCTTGGATGGCTTTGAGTTCTTATGCTGTGTGTATCTGATCTTTATTCCTCTTACCTCTGCCTGTGGTATGATTTCTTCCTTCCATATTCTCATTTTACTGCTTCGTGACTTTTCTTTCAGTTTGTGGGTTTATACTTCGTGATATATTGTATGATCAGATGCTGCTTGGGAAGTATTTTTCACAGTCAAGAGCTTGAGGCTGGTCTCAATTATTATTTCTCCAGATTGCCTACCCAGGGATCTTTCTTAACAGGAGCAAGTGTGTTATCCTCTGAACACACACAGTTCCTTCTGTAGTATGATTAATTTCTGAAACATTACTGCCACCATCTTTGTTTTTGTAGCATAGAATCCAAAATGCCTTTTAGGTGCTTTTATGTGGCAGCTGCTTCCAGGGCACACAGTCTGCTGAGAATATAACTAATTGTGCTGTGTATTTAAAGGGTATTACTGTATGGGGCCCTTTTATCAAGGTAATAGCAAAAAGCTTTCTGCACTCTCCTTTTTAACGGGTGACCTCTATTTTCAGCCATACTGCTATTTCTATATTGTTCTAATCTTGAATTGTGAACTTCTGCAAAGACAGTATTAAATGGCATTTAATTTTACCTGTTTCTGAAGGTGAAGTGCATAAAGTTAGAGCAAGAGATGCTGTGACAGTATGGGTTAACAAGTTAATGCCTAGTGAGCGATGAGCTTGCGTAGAGCTAACTAGCAGCATACTTTAGCAAGTCACTCTGCTGTTTCTGATACGTAATAGAGGATCAGCGTGGTGGAGAGTGATGATAAGGTTATGTTGTACTGCAGCTTATGTTCTTTTTCATGTAACAGTGATGGTAAATGCAAAATGTGAGGTTAGCCTTGACTTAGATTTGTTGAAGGTAGATGTGGGGTGCAGGTTGGAATCAGTTGGTCAGCTTGCTGAATATAACACCAGTTTTAAAAGCCCTGGGATGTTCCACCCTTGGAAAGGTTAGAACTGAATAAAGCAGGTTGCTTTGAGTGCCCTGTGAACTGACCTTAAGGGTAGTCTGGTATTTGAAGTACAGGGGATTAGTGAGAGAGATAAGCTTAAAGGTTGACTAAGTTAAGCGAAAGATTAGTTTGCATACGTAAGATTGAAGTGGTTTTTTTGGTTGTTTTTTTTTAACATTGCACAATAAAAAGAATAATTGCTCTTAGCCAGGTCCAAATCAAGAATCTATTTAAAGAAAAGACTGCAGTAAAGTACTGTTTCTACTAATTTTTTCCATTAGATGGAGATAGCAAAACAAGCGTTTGAGGGCCTTTAGTGTGTCACTGTAACAAATTCTGTTTTTCTGCTGCATTACTTTACTTGCTCTTACTTTCTCTGTCTGTTCACTGACATCAGCTAACTCTGTCTTATGCAATGCTAATGTTTTGCTAATTTTGCATTTATTGCCTTCTGTCACCTCACCCACGTATCAAAGTGCATTCAAAGCTGTTTAGAGGGAGGTGTTAGTTGTGAGCCGATTTCACTTTGCCCCACAAGGAATTTAAGTATTTTCTATGCAGCAAGAAAAAAGCTGGTAACGAGTGCAGAGGATACAATTTTTGTTTCTGTTTTAATTTTTGTTCATTTTCCTGAGGCTGTATGTAGCTGCAGCAGCCTTGGAAAATTTTTGAGGAGTAGCTTCAGCCAAAGGAAACGTCTACTCTGGTGGCTTAAAACTGTTGGGAAATGTGAATGCAACCATGTTGTAGTGTAATGCTACTTATGGCGGACAGAAACTTTCCGTACTGACACTGTTACCAACTGATCAGTAATTCTCTGTTGTTTTAAGTGTTGACTAGTGCAATTGCTAAACCCTTCACAAGTATTTGAAAAAATTAGTGGACCCTGCCTGTTTGGCTTTTGCCTTGTGGTTTGCAGAAGAGATGCTTTGTATGCAGCTGTTTTCTGTTTAAAATGGTTTTTGCACTGTTTTTAACAAAGCCCTTGACTAGGCACTTAAGATATTAACCAGCTTCAGCAGATCATGCGTCTGACGGGAACACCCCCTGCATATCTCATTAACAGGATGCCCAGCCATGAGGTGAGACCTGAGCAGATGAGGGGGGTTTGCAGGGCAGGTCTTCACTTGCAGTGTTTGCTGCTTCTATAAATGATGTGCTCGCATGTGGCATGGGGTGGGCAATTAACTACCTGCTCTTCAGCAAGATTTTTGTACTAAATGAAGAGTTGAGATTTGGACAGTGTGTACTCAACCACAGGCTTCTGAGACTCGGGAGAGCCTGGATGTGAGTTGGTTTTGCATTGTGTGCCATGTTGTGTGGCTTACCAACAGACACTATACTGCACGCAGCCTTACCGGGACTCCAAGGCACTCAGCTCTTGCAGCACCTCTTTGCTTTTCAGTCTTGCATGAACCCCAAATAATGTCAGCTCTTCCTCTGCTGTCTTGAGTGGCCTTTAGCTGGGAAGGGTTAATGCTGATAGGCTTAGTAAGTATCAGAATAAGTAAAGAGAAGGCAAAGTGAGGAGACAGACCATAATAACCGGTGCTTCAGGATGATTGAAATGTACTTTGTCTTGGTGGCTGGATTGTATTATACTTCAGCAGAGCATTTATTTCCACAGGCAAGAAACTACATTCAGTCTCTGTCTTACATGCCGAAAATGAACTTTGAAAATGTGTTTATTGGTGCCAATCCACTAGGTAAGGCTTGCTTTTTAAACGTGGTGCTCTTCCTGAGGCTGAAGCTAGCATGTCCTGGGACACCGAGACTTTTGTTTTGTCTGCAGAAGTAGTTCAGAACAGAGCTATGTATCATTTTCAAAGTTTACAAAGTATGTGTGGGCTGAGGGTATAAGAAGAAGAAACTGTGGATGATGGTTGGGTCTTGAGAAACTACAGATTCCTCATACGTTGGGCTTTTACAAACTTACGTTTCAGAATAAAGTGTTACACAGCTCACAAAATGTAAAATCCTTTCTTTTCCGTTTTGGTGCTTTTGCAGCTGTGGACTTGCTAGAGAAGATGTTGGTACTGGATACAGACAAACGAATTACTGCAGCAGAAGCGCTGGCTCATGCCTACTTTGCTCAGTATCACGACCCGGACGATGAACCAGTGGCAGACCCCTATGACCAGTCTTTTGAAAGCAGAGAACTTGAGATTGAAGAATGGAAAAGTGAGTTTGGGGGACAAGAGAGACAGCCAGCTTGCTTCCCTTGTGGTCTGTTCTATAGCTGCGGTTTAACTAAGCCATGGTAGTTAGACAAACTGATAAAAATGTGGGCATCCTGTTCGTTCTGAGGTTCTTATACTGAGTGAATCTATAATGTGCTGTGCACATAATTAGCATAATCCCTGTAACAAATTATTACTATGAGCATACAAACATGTAGGTGACATAGTTGCTCATGTCTTTTATGTTTTCAAACTTATTCACATCTTCTCAATGCTCTGGAAGTATCTTTTATTGTATATGTTAGTCTCTGAGAATGGTGTAACCATTCTTTTTTTTTCTTGTTCTTAATTAAACCATGGTTTTCATTTAAAATAGTTGTTAGAACCTTTAAGATTGTTGCTGATTTTCTTGCATGCAGGATGTCTTTAGTACTGCCTATTAAGTTTGTCATGCTTTTCCCACCAGGCCTGACTTACGATGAAGTAATCAGCTTTGTGCCACCACCGCTTGACCAAGAGGAGATGGAGTCCTGAGAAACTGCTCTCTTCTGTTTGTCCCACTTCACTGTGAGGGGAAGGCCTTTTCATAGGGACTCTCCAATTCGTTCAAGTGCCTCGTCACAACAATATTCTCCTTGGTGGAGGGGTTTTGTGTGTGTTGAATTGGGGAGGGTGGGGGGAGGGAAGAAAGCTGAGTCTATGTAAACATGCTGCATGCTCTCTTGTATTCTGTGTACAGCCCGGGGCAAGCCTCTGAAGACCTGTTCTAACTGCTCTTCAGTCCTTCCAGAGTAACAGTGCTCAACCTGTTTGCACTGCTGGGGCGAGGTGGGGAAGCTGACGTTTAAAGTTTGGTTACAATCCTTGCCATTTATCAATTCTTCTACAATTAAGTAACCTCAAAATAATGGAAGTTGTTTTATAGGCTTAGAGAGTCCTCTGTTTTCCTCAGGACTGAAGGTGGGGTTGAGGGATGTCCTTGTTCAATGCCAGATGGCTGATTTACGTCCAGATCTTCCTGGTACAGCAGAATATACAGGCCTACTAATGTCTGATTCTTGGAACATGAAAAGGTTTTGTTTGAAACTGTAAATATGTTTGTGCCTTAAATGAATGGGGAGAGAGGGGAAAGGAAGTCTGGAGTGGAAATCTCTGACCCACTGTTTTTCAGGGTGAAGGCCCCCAGATAGCCAGGCATGAACTCGATGTAATCAGGAAATAACTTTCTGAGGCAACAGCCTCTACCCCTGGATTTGAGTATTCCTGTTTTTTTTCCCTCTTCCCCTCCTCTCATTCTGAGGCTTCCCAGCATTAGCTCCCACAAGACAGAGGCTGGAGAAGATTCTTGCTAGCCACACATTTGTGTATTTTGTTCCTTAAAAGGTGGAGTGTTTTTGCATGTCGTAGCTGTATGTGCATGTAGAGCTGCTTGATTTTTGTCATTACTTCTTGGGGATGGCACTAGGGCAGTTAAATCGTCGGTGAACTATTTTACTGAGTACCTCAGCCAGTGCCGTGAAATCACAGCATCCTTCCTCTTGTGCTGCAGCTCATTGTGAAATACCTGCCATTCTGGAGGCTTTGTTGAGGAAAGGATAAAATATACGGCATAGAAACATGCACCTTTTTCTTTGCGTTCTGATCTTCTGGTTTCAGAGAAGGAGAGCTTGGGACGGAGGGTTTCTTGTGAGATCAAATGTAAAAAATGTTCTTCAAAGAAACAACCATGGATCTTGTGCCAGAACTTAACTTATTTCCTGAAAAGAATTTTTTTAGAAGTATTGGAATCCAAAGCAAAGAAATAAGCATGCATAAAACCACAATCTCCCTTTTACTGTCTATATCTATAAATATAAATATTTATATATATAAAACCCTGACATTTACTAGAGGTTTTTTTACCCTCTCAGCTTCTTGGCTGTTTTTTAGCAGGTTGATCTCTGCCTGAGGAAACATGAAAAGCGAGTATGTTTGAATACAAACATGGTTCAAATATTTTGTATTTTACAGGACTCTGTGTGAAATGAAATGCCCAGAGTTAGAGACTGGCAGGAGGGAGGTTTCTCAGCATGTTTGTGTGCTAGAACTGTACCTGGGGAGCTCAGGAGCTGGATTTTAGGATTTGCGGAGGAGACGTTTTTAGACATCTATTTGTTGCAGGCATCCTGTGTGGGCAACATACCTGCGTATGTGAGGAGAAAGGCTTTTGCAGTATTTTGTATTCTTGTTACCTATGGGACGGAGAGGAACTGTTTGTAGTGTTTTTACCCCTTGTTTGAAGAGGCGGCACAAAGGGATGGGACATGGATGACAAAGCCATTGATTCTTCCTAGGCTACTTTCCAATGATCTCTTCAGGTCAAACACTTAATAAAGGTCTGGGGTGAGATGAAGAGAGCAGTTATTTCACGCTCTGGGATAAAACTTGCCTCAGACCAACAAAATCAAGACAAAACTGCCCTTTTCTGCTGGACCAGCAGTCCAGGTATTCAAATGAAAATGTAGATATACTATGTAAACCTACAGCAAGATTATTTTTATCAGCCATTTTATGTGTAGATGCTACAGTGTGATTTCATGCGGAAATATTGCTAAAGATTTTTAAAAATATAGACGTTGTGTGTGTGCGTGTGTGTGTGTCTGTGCGCGTGTGTGAGTGGGAATGTTTCATTTGGAGTCCGTACTCTAACGGGAGCCCGTGTGGCATGCACTCCCTACCTTCAGTGCAATGCTGTTCGGCTGCCTGCAGCCTGAACAGGGGGACGCACTTCAAAGAAGAGATGATCTGCTATTTTGTTTCTATCCATGAATTTTGCTGTAATTGGTTATGCCAGATAAGATGTCACAATACCACTGGTTAAAAATAAAACCTATTTTTCAGATTTACTGCGCTGATGGTACTTAAAAAGCTCCTGCACTAAAGGGTTAGTTTTAGCACGGTGTGAATTTGAACTTCTCCCTCGTGCCATGTGGGATCCTGTCTGTGATGGTTGGGGCGGGGGGGCCAAGGTCGCATGATGTGTTGACTGACTGCTGACACTGGGCTCCTGTCCATATTTGTCCCAAGTGATTTTTTTGCTATGAAACTAGCTTAAGAGCCTGACCATGAGTACTGGACACAGAAGAAAATACTTTTATTTTCTGTTTAGTATAGGGAAGTGCTTATTCAACACAATAGACCAGCATTCTGCTATTTGCCCGGACCTGGGACCCTTCCCCAGTAGTACTGCTTCGTGTTTGTTTGCTATTTAAAAGTGATTTTTTTCCTCTTCAGCTGCCATCTAGTTGGTGGTGGAAGGGTGTTTATGGGAGCAGGAGCATCGTGGCTCTCTGTAGTGGAGATTTTCCAACTTTTGTTATATATCGGTGCCGTTTGCTTGGAAGAACGATTGACCAAAGCTGTGCTCTTCACACTAACAAAAGCATCGGTAACCGAAGTTCCCAGGCCTTGATAAACTGGCCTCGATAAACTGAGGTGGTCCGTGTTGATCCAAGTCAGGTAGCTGACACCCACAACCTGTATGCTCCCCTGTCACAGAGCTGTGCAGCAGCCGATTTGAGGAAGTGCAAAGAAAAGTGGGGGGGTGTTCTCTCAGCTATGCGGAAGCTGCCTTCCTGCTTGTTTTCACCTTCTGCTTGCCTTAGCACAAATTGAGAGGAGAGGAGGAAAAAAGCCTGAAGAGGACCTGTCAGTTATTGTTTTCTAGGAGAAAAAAAAATCCCCCAAACCCGAGACAGACAATTCAGAATGTGCTCAGTTACAGTATATCCTGGTTAGCAAAAAAAACCCCAAAACAACACACCCCACTAAAATCAGTGAGAACTGAATTGGGGAAAAAAACAAACTACACCTAAAAATCAAGTTAGCTAACTCAAGGTTTCCTATTTGATTTGAATCGGTCACTTGAATTAATTCACCTTTCTACAGCCAAGACATGCCCTAGATATTTAGAACTCCTTAATTGTGCGCCGATTACCTGCGTGTGCACATGTAGTTGAGCAAGAGTTGTGTTCATAAAATAACAAATGAGTTACATGTTTGCTTATGTACTGGGAGTTTTTGCTGTGACACCTCTTGCTCACAGGTGTATTTATAGAACCAAGCCAATCGTCGGTTTATTTCCTGACTGTGCTGTTGCTATAGCCAGGGCTTATTTACATGTATCTGCATAAGCAAGGTTAAAAAATTCCCATAGCACCTTTTCCCTAGTTTGTGTTTTATAAAGCAGCAGACCTTACCACAGCTATCTGAAGAACAAAAGGGCCAAGGCTAGTATGTATTGCGGCGGTTGCCTGTAAGCAGGTAAAAGGAATCTTTTCCCAAAACCCTGATGGTGCTTTTTCTGTAATTCCTATTTATCAGGTAACTTGGCTCTAATCCTGCTGCACAGACGTGCTCAGAGCAGGGACAGCTTTGCGGATGACACGTACAGAAGGAGCAGGGAGGCTCTGGGCAGGGTTGAGGGCCGGTGGGGTAGAGCACGGTGTAAGCAGCTGGGCTGGCTCAGTAAGGTGCAGCTTAGTCACTTCCTTTGGGAATTATGTAGGATACACCTATCTCCTGTGTGGGAGCCCCACCTGAGCCTCCTAAAGTTGGAGCAAAATGTCGAGGCGTTCGCTGCTTACCAGGAACGGACCTTCTCGCAGGCTGGGTTTGCCGCTCTGGCCTGGTGACGGGAGACACAGCAGTGAACTTGGGCTTTGTGCTGTCAAGAAGACTCGAGAAGGGGTTAGACCTGCTGCAGGAGATGAAACCAGACCCAGCAAAGCCTGGGGCACGAACAGTTCTCAGGATGGTCCCATCTCGCAGCTGCTCCTGAACCTCCTTGCTGCTGTCACCTGGATGAAGGTGGAGAACCTCAGTCTGCTTTCACCACATCCCCACTCTGCCGGGAAGCCAGGCTTGGGAGAAAATCACCGTCGCTTCCTTGCTCTTCTGTGGATGTAACACCCTGGAGTCCTTTGTCACAAGCCTGGAGCTGTCCTCCATCAGCTGGAAAGAAGAATGTCCTCGCGTGTCTGACGAGGCGCTGTGGCTTGTCCCCCAGATTCCCTGGCTTGACGAGTCCTTACTCATCCGCTTGTTCAGAGCAGGGACTTCACGAGACCCCCTGCGAGCCCCACGAGGACATTTCTCGGCTGGTGGCCCCGTGGAAGCAGGAGAGTGAGAGCTGTAGGTGACGGTGGGGCTCGTGGAGGTGTGCCTGCCGCAGGGCTGGGTGCTCAGCTCCTATAGCAGAGTCCAGAGGCACCTGTACAAGAGCGAGGCGTGTCGGAAAACCTGATGCCTCACCTCCGCCAATGTGGAGGCGGAGGGAGGAGGGCCCAAAGACATGTCCCTTCACGCTCGCAACAGCTGAAAACGGAGAAGGAAAATCGCTAGAGCCTTTTTTACCAGCGCAGGAGGCCTCGCTGTCCCACTCTCACCTCGGAAGCCCTCCCATACGCCAGTACTCTGGGGGGGTGGCAGTCCCGCACCCGCTGGGCGATGAACATCGCAAGGAGAAGAGGCTTTTACAGACAGGAGGTGAACAAAACCCTCTGGGAGCTGCCCAGGAGATACACATCCCTCCACCCGGTGGGGTCTGGAGCCTACGGCTCGGTGTGGTGAGTGGGGTCCTGCCTGCACCCCAGGCAGCAGCACGGGGTGAGCTGGGGGTGTTTAAAGCATCACGCCGGGGTTGAAACGAGGAGGTGCTTGTCAGCACCCCTCCATTAGGAAAGGACATTTGCATGTGTGATGAAGGTGGTTTGCCTCCCGCTTCAGCGCGGGCAGCGGGTTGGAGGCTCAGTCGCTTGAAGAAATGGAGACGTTTCTTCCTGTGGTCGCCCTGGGTGGGCAGAGGGGAGTGTTTCCCATCCGAGCTCACCTCGGCGGGTGTCCTTAGGCAGCGGCTCGAGGACCAGGTAGGTGTAGGCAGGGCTGGCCGGTGCAGCGAGGCAGCTTGGGGTGTCACTTTGACACTGGGGCTCAGGCAGCTTTTGAGCTGCCTTGGTCTCAAGCTTGCATTAAGATTTCTGTCTGGCAGCAAAAAGGGTGGAAAAAATACCTGTGTGTCCAAAAGCAATTTGTAGATGATGATAGAGGTGGGTACTGGAACAGGGGTGGCTGCAGCATGTCCTCTGCAGCGTGTCCTTGCTGCTTTAGTCCAAGGCAGCTGATGCTGGGCTGCCTGGGGAAGGGAGCTGGACAATATGACCCCCACCTTGATGCTGCTTCCAGCTTGAAATCATAAAATAGATAGATCAGTAACAGATTGGGACTTCCTTCCCAGCTGATGATAATCCTCAACCTACAAGAGAGCAGCACGAGCTGCTGTTAATTAATCAGTTGGGCAAAGGTGCCTGTAGTGAGAGCAAGCAGAAGTCAGAACTTGCTTGGTTTACATTGGCGAACCGGAGGAGACGGGCAACTTTTCTGAAAGGTTAAATATGAAGCAGCCCATTGATAGGATCTGAACGGAGCCCTTGTTTCATAACACACCGAGCTAAAAAAAAAAAAAAAGAAGGTGTGTCCCCTTTTGTAGGCGTTGGGCAAAGTCTATCTGAGGGCTGTCACGGCATGGATCCTGAAACCCTGGGGTCCAGGTTCTGTCCTTGTCCCCTGGCTGCCTATTTACAAAGGGGCACCAGTGTTTCCTTTCCCCACTTTTGCTGTCCTGGTGCATTTAAGCTTCTGAGATGCTTACATGAGTCCTGTAAAATCAGGCAAGACTAAACTTGACTTTTTTAATATTTCTACAGCATCTTCTGGTTTTTATCATAAAGGAAAGCTGGAAGTCTAAAAGAAAATAAAGAAAGGGCAAAAAAGGGAAGAGGGAAATCCTTGCAAAGTATCCTTGCCCACCAGAAAAAAAACCAAACAACAATAAGACAAATCTTTTACTGGTCCCAGGGAAAGTCTCGGCTGCTCTGGAGGTCTGGGGAGGGAGGGTTGGGTGTTACAACAGCCCCAGGGTCGGGGGCGGAGGGGGGGGTTGTTGGTACTCAACAGGGAGGGCTTGGTGCCGATTCCCGTACGAAGCAGAGGTGGAAGCGTGTGCAGTTAGGATTTGCTGTCCTCTGCTGGGAATTGCTGGGAAGCTTTCCTATCGCAGCGTTATTTGGAGCTGCTGGCTTTTACGCCTCCTTGAGCAGCTGAGAAACTAACTCAGGAAAAACAGCAAAGATTTGTTTCTTCCCTCCTTAATTTTGCCAAAATCTGTAGTGATTTGGCTCCCACCTGAAGGGAATTGTGGAATAAGAGTCTTTTGACCCTTCCAACACTGGTCTTGCTGATCTCTGCCAGCCAAGGAAGGGACACAGCTCTGCCTGCCCGGTGTCATCCCAAACTTCAGCCATTCTTAAACCTGTGCTGGGAAGAACATGGTGGGCTCTCCCAGCTGCATCAGCTGAATTAATGCTTAGTTGTGCCTTATGGCAAGGGTGAAGGTAGCAGTGCTGTCTGTGCTGGGCAGGCTGAAGCTCCAGCACCCAACTCTCCTGTGTTGAGTGGTGGGGTTAGATGCTCTGTAGGCCAGCAGCTGGGAAGGCAGGTAAGAAGATGCACCCTCAGATCAGGAAATCTGCCTTGAATTCTGCAGAAGCTGTTTGACTATCTGGTCTGGGTCCCTTCCTCTTTCTTCCCCGGCTCCTCGGAAAACTTGACACTGTGCTGTCCCCTCTGCCGACACCTGCTGAAGTCCTGAAACTGAGACAACTCTTCACTGTCCCCCTAAGATACCCTATGGCATCTTCAGCACTGAAGGTGCCTCGTGTAGCTTTTCCTGCGCTTCCTTTGCTTTTCCCAGCTGAATGCATTGATGAAATCGCCATCATACTGAAACTCCCAAAGGATGTTTTTTGCTCTCATCACAGACAACTTAGAGCAACGGGAAGGGACCTTGGTGGCCAAGAGCAGGGAGATTGCTTGATGGTATTGGGAAGGTTGATGATAGCCCAGACTGTCACAGGCTGGACCACAACTGATTGCTTGTGGCTGACAATTGGAGAAAGCTGTGCAAGAGACTTCCAAGATTTGCAGCAAGGAACTGATAATCCCTCTTTGGCATTGAACCAAAGGGAAAACCACGCGGAGCAGGATATTCCCACCTCTCCTAATGCAATCAGCTCTAAACCCAGCAAAATGCACTGTTTGATTGCGTTATATAGATGGCATTTCCCTATTTGTTTATCAAGTCTCGCTTCTGAGTGACAGCCCTGGAGGTCACAGTAACATTGCTTTACAGCTTTATGGTACCTGCCCCTCCCCAGCTCGGGTCTTCTGAGAGCCTCGAGGAAGGAGTGGTGGCTGGAGCCTGGCAGTCAGGGACCGTGGCAGGGTGAATCACACATCCCTTTGGAGAAGGAAGCAGGGGAAATGTCTCTGTGCAAGGCTGGAGGACGTCTGCAAAGAGCTAATGCCAGCATTCACGTGGGCTTTGTTACCCTGTGCAGCTAAAAGCCGTGGGACTGAACATGCCAATTTATAGCACTTCTGTTTCCCCAGGAGATGAGATAAGGATTTACAAAGCAGTGGGAACTGCTCTGGAAACCACAGCGCAATTTGGCAGGGAAAACCCTTTCTTCATCTGTTTGCCTCTTGGAGAGGTCAAGGAAGGGCGGAGGCACCAATATAACAGGGTGCACTGCCACCCCCTGGAAAACACCACCAAGAATCCCAAATTACAGCTATGTCTGCCTGAGGACCTCCCTCCCCGCTTCTTAGCTGGTGAAACCTGGGGCTGCCTTTACAATCTGATCAAAGAGCCTCCAGAAGCAGAGAGAGTGTTGCAGGATTGCCCTGTCCAGCCGCAAACAGCAAATATGACCAGAGGGAATAACACACCAAGTCTTCAGCAATGGCTGTTGTACCATGTTTTCATTAGCTTTATAACACTCTCATTTTCAGCCAGACCTGCTTTTACACAGAAGCATCATCAAAAATCCCAAATGCAGGAGAATTAATTCCAGCAGCCTGTATTTTCAGTGCATGACATCCACTTTCTGTGCTCCAGAATACAGCAAAGGCAGCTGACGTACCTTAAAAGACAACAACCTCCAAGCAGATGGCAAAGCAGAAATTGCTTTATTCCTTTATGTCCATGAGTTAGGGAAGGAGGAGGCAGAGTTAGAACTAATCCTGACCTTTAACCACTTGTGTTTCCCTCTTCTCACAGCTCCATTAGCTCCAGCTCATTTCTGCAGGGTAAGGGGAATAAAGACAAGTCACTAATAGTTTGCTTGGCATTCCACCTAGTCCTCCAAAGAGCACGGGCTGTGGTCTACTGCCCCGGGTCATACAGGGTAACATCTGTGTGTGCAGAGCTCCACTGGGTTTCCCAAGGGGCTTTTCTTTGCTGTTCTGTGAGCTCCAGAATTAGCTCTTCTCTAGGAGAAGACCTTTGGTATTGCAAAATTTGTTAAAACATACTGCCGATGTCAGAATTGGTTTTTATTTGTTCGTCGCAGTTCAGCCATAGACAAGAAGACAGGGGAGAAAGTGGCTATCAAGAAGCTCTGCCGCCCGTTCCAGTCGGAGATCTTTGCCAAGAGAGCATACAGAGAGCTCATGCTGTTGAAGCACATGCAACACGAGAACGTAAGTACTAGTTTCTCTCCATTCCTGCTGAAACCAGGGGGGTTTCTTGTCACCTGGGAACAAGTCCTTTCTGGTGGCATCACCTTTATTTTAATTGAGAGGTCCTGACATTTGGCACGTGCAGGCAGTCTCGGGGTTTAACTGCTTACCTGTCTGCTGCGCCCAGTTGGCACCAGGCTGAAGCAGATGTGTAATGGGTGCTCCCTTGTATTAGTAAGAGGAAAAGCAGCTGCACAGCATAGCAAGGAGTCCTCGGATTCCTCAGATGGAGTTCTCGGTGCTCACCCATGTGCGTGTGCTGATGGAGAGCTGCTACCCAAGTCCCACATGCACAGCAAATGCTTTCCAGGTTTAAACGTGGAATTCTCTTCTCTGTCAGGTCATTGGGCTGCTTGATGTCTTCACCTCCGCCACCTCCTACCAGGGATTCCAGGACTTGTAAGTTTGGAGTTTGCATTCGCTCTGTCTAGACTCAGCCATTGCCCAAGACACTGGTGACTTAGCAGCAGGATAATGGATTAAGTTGAGGTGCAGCCCAACAGACTGAGCTGAAAAGGGGCCAGACTAAAGCCAGACATCCCCAAATAACAAGGAGAATCAAAAGCACAAGTCCGTTCCTGTCATGGTTTAACCCCAGCCACTTGGAATGGGAGAAGTAAACTAAGGATTTTAAAGATCTGGCTTTCTTTTCATCTTGATTCTGGCTGGGTTTTTTTTTGGTTTTTGGTTTTGGTTTTTTTTTTTTGGCATTTCCCTCAGTGTTGATGGTCAGGTTGGACGAGTCGAGTCGTTTTCCCTTCCCCATCCTCAGGCATGAGCAGCGTGTGCCTGATGGCTGGGTATTTAGCAGCCTGCAGGAAAAGTGTCTGAAGGTTCTCACAGTAGTTCCTGCTGGAAGACAATCAACTAATTAGCAGTCTCAGCAGGCAGGCCAAAGACTGAAGGAAGCTAGATGTTGTCTTCCGAGGCAAGGCTGGAGAACATTGCAACGATAAATTTGGGAGCCAACACAGCAGTTTTGCAAGACTCTTCAAAGCTGTGCAAGATGTTTCAGCTCCCAGATGGTGTAAGGCTGTCCCAAACTGAACATCACTTGAGGTCTAAACTAATTCAGGATCGTTAAAGTTTGGAAGATCCTTGTTCTTACTTGACATCAGATATCTGATTTAAGGGGAGAAGAAAGAGCAATTTTCAGAGCAGGCTGAAATCCCAGCATCACTGCAGGCTATGCTAGTTAGCCAGGAACACTGTCACAACAACTCATCTTAGTTACAGTAAGTTACACAGCCAAAAAAACCCCCCAAAACCAAGTGAGAACAAGGCTAGCCTGGTTCCCTATGTTTTTCTTCTAGACTCAGGGCCTTGTCTTACTGCCTTTTAGCTACCTGGTGATGCCATACATGCGGACAGATTTACAAAAGATCATGGGACAGGAATTCAGTGATGAAAAGATCCAGTACCTGGTCTACCAAATGCTGAAAGGGCTGAAGGTAGGTGGGTCTGGAGGAGTTTAGTGACTCCCTGTGTCTCCTCTACACGTCACCTCTGGGTTGACCATAACTAAACCCCCTTCCAACACTGTATAGGGAGATTTGGGGGGTTTATGGCATCGCCTGAGAACAGATATTTGCTGTTGAACTACTCTTGTTCCAGCACACATCAATAAAATGACTGCTTGTTCACATCAGTCAATTGGGTATCGAAGCAATCCGCAGTCATAGACCTTGCGATGGTTTTTCTGTGACAGCAGTTGTGTTGCCCTTTGACTTGCCAAAATCCTCAGCAAAACTCTGTGTAGAAAGGAAGAGGCTGGTAGCAATGGGAGCTTCTGCTGAATTCCTAACAGAGACTCTCAGGGGAGAAGACAGAGGGAATGATTTTCTATTCAATAGAATAAGGAAGGAATATGCTGCTGTAACTGGCTTTGAGAGAACAGAAAGAAATCACTGCAAACCCTGGGATGTAGAGACAGTGTCTTAATGCTGCCCTCTGTAACATCCTTCACCTGGAGCCAAAGCAGTGGCTTAAAGGCATTGATGAGTTCACCTTAATAACACCTTTCCCCAGATCACTGTTATCTTGAGTTTAAATAATGGGGGGAAGAACACACAGGTTTAACTGGTGTGATAAAAGCCATGTAGCCAGTTTTTGCATTTTTGTGTTTTAACCATGAGATTTTTTCACATGGTTTAACACCCAAAATAATAAAGTTTTCATGTCGTCTACTGACCATGTTCCTCCCTGTAATCCTGATGCCTTTGTTTGATAGTTTGAAGCTATTAGTGTACTTGCTCTAAGGAACTATTGCTCCATACCTCCTCTTCTGCTCTATGCCTCTTCTTTAGACTGGCAATATCATTGCAAATACTGTCAGAAATTCAATGCAGAGATTTCTTTTCAAACTGCTGCCCTGGGGGCCGGGGCCCTGCAGCAGGCTGCAGAGTTGTGTTCTCAGCAAGCTCTTGTTTGTAGCTCTCGTTTCTCTGCTGGAGAACAGAAAGTCTTGTCTGCTGGTGCTCACATTGTGGCTCCTCTTTTTATTGCAGTATATTCATTCAGCTGGCATCATCCACAGGGTAAGTCCATGTGCACTCTTACTCTGACTTTTGTCTGTTCAGGAGAAACACAGCTTGGCTGTAAAGCTAATAAATTCCTAAACAACTTTTCACTAATAGCCTCATCTGCTCTAAGGTCTCTCTGGCATCCTCCCTCTTTTCCCTCCTACATCTTATATGTGTTTGGATTTGCTCATTTGTGCAGCATTTTGAGGAAACGCGGTATTTTCTGATGAGCTGAGAAGCATTTTATGATGCTTTTTCAATTAAAACTGTTTCAGAAAAAATAGAATAGTAATGTAAAGCTGTACAGTAGAGCAGGCATAGTGTCTTTGCTGTATCAATACTGAACTCAGGATGTTACAGGACCCCATCAAAGGCAAGCAGAGGTTTGGCTGAGGCTCGTGTTGATGCATTGCAAATCAAACCATCTTATTATTCTCCTCTTGTCCATTGCAGGACCTGAAGCCCGGCAACCTGGCTGTGAATGAAGACTGTCAGCTAAAGGTAGGTGTAAAAGCACCACTTTGTAGCATGTAATATATTGGATCGTGGAGGAACTGCTCTGCTGGCAGGAATTCGGCACCATCATGTTTCCTCTTGCCCTCCGAGACTCAGTTCGAGGTGTTTCATTACTTGGCAGTTGCAAGCAGTGGGAAATACTCACCTGCTGATGTAACTTGCTGAATCAGGGCCCAAGACTTGGAATGAACATCCTGTCACCGTAATTCCTGCGGCACGGCAGTTCGTAATGACTTCCTAAATAAATTCAAGACTGCTGAGCAATACTTGCATTAGGTGAACGATCCCTGAAGGATAACTGGATTCAACCGCAGTTACCCTTTGGTTCTCATTGACAGGATGGTTGTGAATCCAAAGTTATTTTCAGTATTGCTCTGAAGGGTTTCCTTGCAACTTGCTGGTGCAGCACTCTAGCGCATATTTGCTGTAATGTTTATTAGAGAGAATGGTTCTGTTGCTGTAAAGGTTGGGTCAAGCTATGTTCATTTCCAGTATTGAGGGAGAGGCCATCCCCTATCAGCTGCAAGGTGTTTTTATAGGAAAGGCTGAGTCGTGGTGGCCTGGGAGCATGCCTCTGCCACCAGGTTATAGAACAACTCAATTAAATAAAGGTCATAGAGTTGAAACTTAAGCTTCAAGAAAGGAAGTGACCTTCCAGGTAGCACGCAGCACCGATCCTTTTAGCAGATTCTTCACACAACAACTGATTTTGCAGCCGGCTTGCAATTTAGGTGGAATTAAGACAAACCTGTTAGTTCTTTGAACCATCCCGTGGGTGGCTGTGGTGTAGTTGGAGCTTCATTATTATCTGATTGGATCTGCTTCATTTCTTCTTAGAATTAGATTCTCACTTGCCTGTAGGATTTCTCTTTTCTTTCCTGCCATTCCTTCTCTCTTTTCCTTTGGTGAACTGCAGATCTTGGATTTTGGCTTGGCCAGACACACTGATGCTGAAATGACCGGCTACGTGGTTACGCGCTGGTACAGAGCCCCAGAAGTCATTCTGAACTGGATGCATTACAACCAGACAGGTGAGCTGTCTTGCTTCAGCAGTGTGACTGTCTGGTGACAAGCCCGGGGATTCCGCTGTCACACCTGGGTCAAATCTCACGTAATCCTCCAGATGTTTTTCTTCTTTATCATCAGTGTTCCCTGGAGCAGAGCGAGTCCCAAAGCTGTCGCATGACTCCCAAAGCTACTGCCTGCGGGAAATGATGAAAGCAGAGATTTTAGCAGCATAGAAAGAACAGGGGAGGGTGGAAAGTGGGAGTGAAATTTAAATCGGTGCCTGCTGCAAGCAACAAAGCAAGCAACAGCCCCAGCAATCATCGCTGCCTTTTTACCGTCCCTTTTTTTTTTCTTTTTTTCTCCTTTTTCTCTCTGAACAGTGGATATCTGGTCTATCGGCTGTATCATGGCAGAAATGCTGACTGGAAAAACGCTGTTTAAAGGAAAAGACTGTATCCTTTCAAGCTGAACCTTTTCCCTGGGGGGGAGTAATAATTCTTGGTGTGTGTGTAAGGGCTTTTATGAAGAAGCTACTGGGAAAAATAGGTGTCTGTCTGGTTTACCAGGAGGGAATCGCAGGGACCCGTCTTTTTGGTGAGAAAAACAGAGAGGACATAGGAGGAGGAGGGGGCCAAGCCACCCTTAGAAATACACCTCTGTGCTGGCCATGTGCTCTACATCAGCAGTCTAACCTTGTGTGGCCATAGCTCCATCCCCAAACCCTTGTGTTTCCCCCAAGGCCACGGGTAGACGCCCTGGCAGAGTTGTGCCAGCAAAATTATCTGTTGATGAAACTGGTATCCCAGGAAAAAAGCCTTGGAGCTCTTTTTGCCAGTCTAATGAGTCTCTGCTTGTGTGGCTCTGTTGGGTTTGTATCATAAGCTACTCGTAGCTGCCACAGGTCCTTGGGCTTTCTGGCACCCAGCCCACAGGCTGAGCTGTTGGGGGGTGTCCATAGCTTGCTCCTAGGCGGGTGATCTTTAACACAATCTGCCAGACCTAGATCAACTAACTCAGATCCTGAAAGTAACGGGGCATCCGGGAGAAGACTTTGTGGACAAGCTGGAGGACAAGGCGGTAAGAAAGTTCACTGTGGATTCAGGTCTCGCTGGCAGAGGTGTGGTGGGGAGAGGTTAACTTGGCCGTGTCTTTGAGATGGGAGAGGTGTTGCTTCTACAGCAGCAGTGAAGAAGAGTGACAGCAGTCTTTTCCCCTTGGCAGGGAAGATGTTTCTCTTTGCTAGTGGCGCATCTGATGGATTTGGCATTGCATTGGGAACTGGTGCGGATTGCAGGCGCTCCTGGGTGAGGTGCCTGACACCCCAGCAAACCACCAACCTCCTCTGTTCTCTAGTTTGGCCCTTAAAGCAGGAATATTTCTGTATCTCAACTGATAAAAATAGTTCTTTGCAAACTGGTCACTGAAATGTGCCGTCTGGGATGACTTGCTGTTCTCTTCATTTGCCTTGGCTCATCTGAGCCATGAGACCCAAGAGCTGTATTTCACAGCCCCCTCGCACTTGTCTATGTGCAGTAAATTTTCCTTTCTCTTTCAGGCCAAGAGTTATATCAAGTCCCTTCCTAAAATCCCCAAGAAGGATTTGTCTGTGCTTTTCCCCAAAGCCAATCCTCAGGGTAAGTCATCTCCAGTGTTTCTCATGAGTTTTCACAGCTGGAAAGGAGGCAGGCTGACTGCCACGGCTCCAATCTTATTTTTCCTCTTTCTCATAATTTCTTGCTACTTTCTCCCTTGCAAGTTGTGCCCCTGCCCCTCCCCAGGGCACGTATGTATGAATTAAAAGCAAAAAGATTCTTTATTGGCATTACAATGGTGATGTTCTGCTATTCTTGGCCATTTACTTTTTTTTTTTTTTTTTTTTTAATTTTAAAATGACACAGCCTGTAACATACAGTATTTAAGGAAGAGATAAACTTCTGACTCTCATATCAACAAGCCAGAACAGAGCGGGTGCTGGATATAACAGGATGTCTAGGTTGTGGGATGCAAATTATGGGATGAGGACAGTTGCATATATCAGCTCCACTTGGTATGAGGGTTGGGATGAATTTTGGCTGATATTGGCTTCCAGAGGTTGCTGCTTGCAGCCAAGCAGGTGATATTATGATCAGTAGCATTTAGGTAAACAAAGTAGCTCTTCTTTGTTATTATTATTTCCCAGCCCCACATCTAAGGCATCATAGGTTTTGATAAAGTGCCAAGAGAGCCCCACAGTCCACTCCAGTAATATTTTTATTTTATTTTTTTTAGAGTACAGCTTAGATCCTAACTGTTTATTGAACACCTGGATCTATCGATACTTACCAGGCAGCTGAGATGTGGAATTTTCAGGGTAAAAATTGATCTCTTACAAGGAGCTCTTTTCCCAAGTAGGTTAGAGGTGAGAGCGAGCAAAACTCTTCTAAAAGCTGAAAGGAAGAAAGCATTAAGATGTTAAAACCAAGGGGGAACGGGGCTGACGGACTAGTTGGTATCTGAGTTTCCTTCCTTCCTGTTTACCAGGGATGTATAGATCTCTATGTAGATTACTTGTGTTAAGACTACTTTGAGTTGTGGGGGTCAGAGTGAAAGCAAATGATTAAAACTGAAAAATACCTTGAAGTTACTGGTTTGCTCTTGCCCCATCTGTGCAGCAAGGCTTATTCAAGACTAATTTGTTATTTCTGCACAATTTACACCTCCAGTTCTGTTAGCAAGAGCTCCCTGAGGCTGCTGTTGGGCAGGCATTGCATCCCCACTGGCAGGAGCTCCACGCTACCTTGGCCACGTTGAGGAATCTTTCATTTTTAGGTCTGGAGATGTAGTACTGGAAACACTAGTCCCATCACTTGCAGGCTTCACGCACAGGGTGCTTGTTCTCCGTCGTACCATGCTTAGCCCTGTTCCTGTCTTCTCCTACAGCAGTGGACCTGCTTGACAAGATGTTGCAGCTCGATGTGGAAAAGCGCCTCACAGCGACAGAGGCGTTGGCTCACCCCTATTTCGACCAGTTCCGAGATGTTGAGGAGGAGACAGAAGCGCAACAGTCCTATGATGATTCTCTGGAACACGAAAAGCTTTCGATAGATGAGTGGAGAAGTAAGATGTTTATCTCTGAAGTTCCTGTCTAGCACGGGACTTTCCTACCTCTTTCTCTCTTTCCTGTGCACATGCTGAGTAAGGCTGCGATTGCCTGCTGGTGTCTCAATGATCATCTCCCTTGCCTTGCTCTTGCTTTTATGCATTCAGCAAAGATCTCTCCAGCTCTTCAGACTTTTTTTGCCTCTCTGCTTTGTCTATCTGTTCCAGCTTGTACCTGCCATATCCTCTCCACTGAATACCTCCTCTCTGCACATATAACATTCAAACTCTCATTTGTGTCCTCTAAAATCACACACTCATGGTTATTTTGTTCTGTTTTTCAAGAGCATATTTACAAGGAGATCTTGTCCTTCAGTCCCATTGCACGGAAGGACTCAAAGAAGCGAAGTGGAATGTCATTATAACAACCAGTGTGGCTGTGGCTGGGATTCACTTCTCCTGGAAGATGGATTGGATTTACTCCACGCTGCCTTGCTGGTGGCCGTCATTTGGCCCGTGGGACTTCTCTGTGTGCCAACACAAGGATGACACTGTGCTGCGGGCATTGGACTTTGTTCTACTAAATGGGGAAGCACCCCAAACAGTTTTCAACACGAAAGATAAAGTTTCAATGAGAATATATTTAAGTGGGAGAATTTTAACTGGTGTTTCTTTTTTTTTTTTTTAATATATTTGCCAACTTGAGAGAGCAGGATTTTCATTGCTCCCTTCTCATTAGTCTTTCCAAGTGCAGGTTTTAGTACATTAATTATGGATAAGGTAAAGAAAAAGGTAAAATTGTCTGGGAAGTGAGTCCCAAGCAAAACAATCAGAAATAGTGAAATTCAGCATAACAAGACTTTATCCAATCTAACTCTGAGTGCATCCCCTTTCCCTGAGCAGTCAAACAGCATCCAGCACAGCAAGGTTGCTGGGACGGTGTCGGCTCCAGGACACCATGGGAATCTAGCTGATCATGGGATTGATCTGTGTTCAGAGCAGCTCCAGCCTCTTGCTATACACACAACTCCCTGCTAGGGTGCTTCCCCCTCTGGACAGCCACTGCCTCCTCTTTTTTGCTGTGCTTATTTCATTCCCTGGGCTTTGATCAGTGCTGTCTCCTCCTTATTGCTAGCTGCAAACACGTCCTGGGAATTCAAGGCCACTTCCCACATTCACAGACTGGGTATCCCAAGGAGCTGGGTTGTAATCTAATAGTCCTGCTACCCTTTCCTTTCCCCAACCTTTCTCTCCTCACCATGCTTATCTCTCCCTGAGCACCCTCTCCCCTGCGTCGCCCTGCCTGCTCCAGGCTGCCTTTATCTCTCAGCAGGGCTGGTGTTTCCTTACACAGCCCAGTGATGTGACCCCTTATATTCTCATTCCTTCTGTCCTGCGGGATCAGTTAAACCAGTTCTCTTTAACAGCTGCTCGTTCCTCAATATGAAGAGACATTTAAACTGATCATTTGGAAAATAGTCAATTGCCAATCCTAAGGCTCAGCTCTCAAACTAACTAAAAAAAAGTTCATATACTGGGGGGAAAAAAAAGCAGAAAAATGTTGCATGACCAATCCACCATTAGCAGAAAGAGGAACACAATAATTCAACTCAGTGAGCACAGAAAATAAGTTCAGATACCTCAGTTTCTTAGTATCAGATTAGCTCCTTCACTCAGCATCATTATAAATTGCATCTAAGATAATCCTATTAAATAGAATATCTCACAAAAACTACTGCAGGCTAAAAAATATCCTTGTGAATAAGTGCTTCACAGATTCCTTTTACTGCACTTTCATTGAGGTTTTACATTTCTTATTTGTCTAGCAAATTTTAATTAATTCACCTACTTATTGAGTAATTCTTGATAGCTGCAAGAAATTGGCTTCTCTGAGATGCTCAGAGTCCCCGTGTGTCACAGGGTGGGACTGTGCAGTGCTGCTGGCACTCAGCTGGGGTGAGCGTATGTCCCCAGCCAGCTGTATCCAGCCCTGCTCTAAGACAGTCTCTTTAGTAGGTATAGAGTTTTATACGAGATGAAAAACAACACAATAATCTCTTTTTGGCTCCTAGATGTGAACAAGAAAAAAATATAGGATGATGTGAGAAAATCCAGCCAACTTGCCTGGATTTAATTGCTTTGGAAAGGTGTTCAGATAGCATCAAGATAAGAGGAGTATGATACATAAACAAAGGGAGGTTGTTTTATGAACGCAGACCAACCAGCCAGTCATCTGGATTCTCCCTCCAGGGGAAGTTTGTTCCATCTTTTGGTTCTACACTACGCTAAGTCATTCAAATTTAAAAGTATGTTTTGATCTTTAAAGTAATTTGATGTACTGGAGATATACTGATATCATCTGAAGGCTGGCGTTTTTTGATGCATATGCATCAGTATGTCCCAAGCCACCACTCAAGTACATAGGTGTTTGCTGTAAGTGTTATTACCATTAGAACAGAGGAGAGATGAAGAATAATTACAAAATCAGCGAATGGGATCTGAAAGTGACTGCAGTGTTATTACAACTGTGTCTGCACCTTCTTGTCTTGGTGAGTTTGGGTCTCCTACGAGCACCTAAACACTCGTGCTTCAGAAACAAAGTATAACTTATCACTGGGGTGGGATATGCCAGGGTGGCAAATGTGGAAGAGCAGGATTTTGGGGAGTAAGGGGACTCCAAGGTAGTTCTGAAGTCTGATACTTTTGTTGTGTATATTCCTGGCTCTCTGTGATAGCCCTCTTTCTAATACATCTTGATGATCTTGTAGACAATACCTCTCATTAGTCCTTTTGAAATAAAGCCCATATGCACTTGTGTGGCTTATTCTAAAGCACTGTAACTGCTAGGTCTTGACCACTGGTATCTGAGGTGGTGTCGTGATCCTTTGTCACTTTTGAGACCAGGAGAATGGACGCTATTTTTTGGAGGACTTTTCCCTTCCTCCTTTTTGCTTGGAAATTCTCATTGTTCATATGCTAAACAGTTAATTACCGAACTTTCCTAAATACAATGGCATCTTTGGGGTCTATTTATCCCCCCTCTGCAGTGCAACAGAATAGATTCTTTCCTCTGACAGGCCTTTATTTATTCCTGCTCAAAATATGAATGAGTATGCTTCACTCCCACAAAAAAATCTTTAAATATGTATTAGGACGCCCCCCCCAACCTGTCACATATTCCTTTAAATGCCACTTTGGTTAATTATCACAGTCCTGGAAACACTAATTGCTAACCCAAAATTTATAGAGGTACTTACAAAAAAAAGACACAGTTTTCTGCTGAGCAGGTTGCAAGTGCACACCCATCTGTAAAGAGTGATTCTCTAATCAGGCATCTACCTGCAGCTTTGCTGATCGATGGAAATTATTAGTTTTCTTGAATGGACTCTGATAAACCCTTGGATAGGTTACATGTCCCTACATACTAATGTTAGTGCAAAGAAAAGCTTGAACAGTAATGGAGTTATGATTCACTCAAGTTCAATACCTTCTGTGGCCTGACAAGAGTCTGCACAGGAGCTCAGACTTATGCAGTCGGTCTCTTTTGCAGGGGTGTTCTGGGAAGCTATCAAGTGTAAGGCTCACCAGCAGTAACCACAGGTTTGTTAGATGTGAAAAGTTTGTATATGAATATAGATCTGTTTTGGACCTACGATTTTCCCTACGATTGCAGGTGCTATGTCATTAGAGCTGTTCGGTTGCAGAAGTGCATACATAGTGACTCTGGTGCTGTCCAGCTCTTAAGATCTCTTGCCAATGTATTCTGCCTGCAGTTGACAGCAAAACCTACAAATATCTCCAAATTACTGCAATCACATCCCAAATCCTTTTCTGTACGTTGGTAGCAACACACAGACCCACCCTGCAATCCAGAGATGTGACTGCGGCTCATGCAAGTGTATCTAAACTAGCTTTTAGCTAATGAGCTTGGTATTAATAGCACAGTCCGTAAAGTAGCGAGGAGCTCAGCACAAGTTAAGTCTGCGTATTTACTCAGCATCTTCAGAAAGTTTTTCAGCCTGTGCTGAATCTGGTGTATCTGCAGATCCATGGCTTATTGATGTAGTCACTAGATAGTTCAATGCTAGGTGCGTATGACTGTTAGTTGTGATAATACCTTTGGACTGCAGTCCAAAATATCTTCTTAGTTGGCATCATCTTCCCTACTATGGTCAGTCAGGTTCAGCTAGTCTTTCCACAGTCCATCCTAAGGGACATGTGCCAAGAGCCAAGAGTCTTCTCTGTGCAATAGTTTAGAGCACACAGTCCCCAAGGGCTATAGAAAAGTATTTGTTGAGAAGGTATATGAATTCAGTAATATATGCAGTTATTTCTTAACTCTCCACCCCTTCTGTAGCTGCTGAGTCATTTTGGTTTGGTTTAACCAGGCTGTACACTTTCAGTACTCTCTAATTTTCTTCTTTGCCTTAACTGATATCCAGTTTTGCTATACAGACCTCAAATAAGGGAAAACTGCAACATTACCAGAATTTTCTGAGCTCTCATGTCCACTGGGAACCGGACAAGGTGACGTCATGTTTCTTGGCTGTCTCTCTGTTGCAGCTCATGCCATGTAGTACTCACGATAACCCCCCAGCGACTGTAGCTTTTTGATATGACAGTGTTGGTGTTATCCTGCTGTAGCTGTACAGATGCTCCGTGCTGATGAGATGCTGTTTCTCTTGGCTCATACCTCTCTGGGCCATGTACGAGCCCTTTGCCTCACTCTGCTCTTAGGTAGGGACAGTGAGCACAGAACCATTGTGACGTTCCCTCAATTTCCTTGAAATTCAATGTTTTTGTTATGTAGCACACTGAAGAGGTGGGCTGGAGGACATGCATGGTGTCCTGCTGACTCTGTCTTGAAAAATCCCAGCTTGATGAGAGCAAGGGACCATCCTTTCTTCTTCTGAAGTGTGGGACAACCTGCGTTTTCCTTGAACGGTGGAAAGGAGAAGTTCCAGCTGCATCGGTCAAACAGCAGTTGAAATATTGCCCTTTTGAACCTGGCATCTGACTTGGCTGCCTTGTCCACTGCATAATCTTTAACAGAGATCAGAGAGGAGCTCTCTGTGGCTGCCATAAACATCTCGGAGAGCTGCGGATGTTTAGAGCTGCCTATGCCCTGGTAAAATGAGGCTTGGTGGTTAGCAGTGGAGGGTCATCATCCAGGTGAGTGTGTGCAGACGCATGGGTGAGGCAGGCTGGCCTCCTGACTATACATAGCTGTGGACATAGAGAGGCAGAGAAGAGTCTTAAAAGCTCGATCTTGCAGAGAAAAATTGAGTAAATCTATAGAGACTTTTAGAGTATTCAGCTTTCTTTCAGAGTCATCTGTTAAGGTGAAGAACCCATTCAGACAGAACTCCTAAACCACTTTAAATGGGAATTTAGGGTGTGATTTCTTAATCATCTTGCTCCTCTTCAAAAGTGGATAGGCAGACCTGAAGAGGATTGGAGTTTCCTGGCTCTCTGTAATGACGGCTGAGGGAGAAAACATCTTCATGATAAAATAATGTACTGAGCAGTCTACTGGTAGTTGCAAAGGAGCCTCCA